CCCTGTGTTTTATAATGCCAGTAGATGCACCTGTTAATTCTCTTTCCATTGGTATAAGCATTCCCTATACCTAAATCCCACCGATTTTGAGATATTTGAACATAAGTACAGAGACGAATATAATCCGACAGTTAGCTGTAGGTTGGCTGTGGAAAAACATTTAAATGTCACCAAGTGTCATTACTTATTTAGCAGATTTGCTGTCATTGCTGTAAAGCGAGTTTGTCGATTTTCCAAGTGTTTTCAATAACAATGGCACACTCTGGGTACACACACGACGACTACACGTCGGGGTAAATCGTCAGGTTGCAAATGGTGTATTAACATAAATGAAAATGGCTTCCATTTATGCTTCTTCAGAATTCTGTGAATAGTTCCTATTGATAGACGTGAATTTATTATGCATCTCTAATTGACGCCTGTGGATAAGCGGTGAAAAATGCCAATACATTTACTTCATTTTCTTCGTTGTCCACTGATGTCTTACTTTTATCATGTTTCGGGAGAAACTTTCCATTCTCAGAACAATTCTTTAATAGTCTTCTGACCATATCATGACTTGGTCTGTGCTTATTTGGATATCTTTCTGCAAACACGCGACATGTTCTACTAACAATTCTATTACACTCCCCGTAAATGATAATTAAATTTAAAAAGTCGTCGTCTGTGTACCCAGAGTGTGCCATTGTTATTGAAAACACTTGGAAAATCGACAAACTCGCTTTACAGCAATGACAGCAAATCTGCTAAATAAGTAATGACACTTGGTGACATTTAAATGTTTTTCCACAGCCAACCTACAGCTAACTGTCGGATTATATTCGTCTCTGTACTTATGTTCAAATATCTCAAAATCGGTGGGATTTAGGTATAGGGAATGCTTATACCAATGGAAAGAGAATTAACAGGTGCATCTACTGGCATTATAAAACACAGGGTGTTCTATTTAAAATAAGCGAGTTATTAAACTTTCAATTTGACACAATTGGTCCGTATTTTTTAGACGCCCTGTGTAACATGCACCAACTTTCGAATATTCCAGACATTTGGACACGTTTTGGTATTGACCATATAAAATTTTAGCTTCGTATCTTAAAAATTGGAGGAGATTGAACTGATTAACTGTAGGTATGTCTTTTTCAAAAATTTTGAAAAAGTCAAAATATTTCAAAAACTATTGAGTTTAAGAATAAAGTAAGGTTATGAAACTTACCTTAAAATCCAATGTAGAATCCAAAAATTAAATAAAAAATAGTACATTCCATTTGAAATAAGCGAGTTGATGTCTACTTCCGGTAGAACCGGAAGTTCCACGGCGACGCCAATATTTTCAATCGATAGAACATTAGGAGAAACCCTCGTACATAAATTTTCAGAATTCCAGTACGCGTAGTTTTCCAGAAACGTCTAATTGAATGTCTATCTGGAACACTCTGTATATCTACTACATTTCTATTTCTATTTCTTTTCAACTCCTTGCATGGATATACTATATTTTGTTCCCATTTTTAGCACAAAGGATCAACAATAAGAAAAAATCAAGTAAATAAATGGGAAATTACCGTACGGCACAATGCGCTAAATCTGAAATGTCATGGCGGATTTTTGTTTGGACAACCAAGTAAATTTAATACTGCACAAAATTGCGCGGTATATGAAATAAAAAATAAAATAAAATAAAATGTAAACTAGTTTGATTATCAATTTGTGTAGAGTATGTAGAGGCTACAGATGTTACAATTCGAAAAATATATATTTAGGAAATAGTGGGAAAAAGTCCTTTTTCTAAAGCTAAAAATAGGAAAATTGATAATACCTATGCAGCCGGACCAGACTTCCAGATGTATTTATCTGGAATAAAATTCAATGAATAACAAGATAACATATTTTGATAAAACTTTTATAATCTGAATGTCTTAAGCAAATCTAGAATTAGCTTAAGCAAAAATTAACAAAAGATAAATAAATATAAAACTTTATCATGGGCGTAGCTACAATTTTTACTTGGGGTGGACTCAGGACTGCAAGCTCTATAGTGATGAGTATGTTAGATCTTTTTTTCTGGAGTAGGTTGGGCCGTGCACACCCCTGCCCCCCTCATTTACACTTATCGGTAAATTTGTTTTTTTTTTAGTCAGTATATGATAGACTGTTTGCTGTTTTTTCTGAACATATTTAGAATATATATTTTCTTTAAAATAAGAGATGGTTCACAGTCCACTTATGATGATATTTATAAGGGTGACGGGTATAATAATAATGAGCCACTAAAATCATTACAAATATTTGTCCTATTTCAGCGTTTGTAACGTATTTCAACCGATATATTAACCCGATATTTTACAGGCGTACACACCTGTCGTTCGTTACATTTACAATGAATGTAAATGCAGTTTTTTTAAATTTTGGCCGTGACTTTTGTCCAAGTTTTAAACGGAGTAGATCGCATGATTACGATATTTTATTCTTTTAAAATATGTTTACTTTATTTATTTTTTTTATATCTTATAAAATCAGTTCTCAAATAGGTCCCCGAGCAGATCATAATTAATATTTTGCTTACTATTTTATTTGCTGACAAAATCACTTGGTTTATTTTCATAAACATACTACGCCGAGTGTTCATCGATAATTAAATGCAAAGAAAGTTTAAACAACTGAAGTATATAATAAATTTCACTTTCATATTCTAGGTGCATTCACATTATTTAAGCCTTGTCTATTATTCGCATATTTAGCTTAAAATGTTTGCCATTTAAATTGCGTTATTGAAATTAATATTTATTTAAGATCATTTCGTTATAATGTATACAGGGTGTTTCCAAACTTCTGCTGCGTTTATAACTCATTAAAATAAGCCAAAGAGTTCCTATTAACATGTGCCCTAAAACGCACCCTTAGGAAGTTATATGCCCTTAAAAGGGCTCAAACAAAACTGTTTTTTTTCTGTTGTGACAAAACGGTCGCAAATAAATAGAAAAAAATTTATGGGTCTTACATAACTTTTTACGTTAAATAACATGGGCTACTCCGTTTTTCGACATGCAAATCATATGCGTCCCATTTAGGTTGGTGAAGGGGGTTTTCGGCCCGTAATTTTTTTTATTTCAATTTTTTTACAATTTTCTCTACAGATTTATAAAATCTTAACAATTTTACGTAAAAAATATTATCTTTGTCCAAATCGATATTTCCAATGGTTTTCGAGTAAATTGAGTTTGAAAATTACTCTGCTCTTTAAGTTATTAGGCCAAAAATTACAAAAATCTGTTTACCATGGCAAATAAAAGACTGACGTTGCCACAACGCTTAACAATTTAAGTTATTGATAAACTGTCAATTGAGCTTTGCAGTGTTTAATTAGTAAAATTGGTGAGTTGAAAATTTAAGTATAAAAAAAAACAGTTTTGTTTGAGCCCTTTTAAGGGCATATAACTTTCTAAGGGTGCGTTTTAGGGCACATGTTAATAGGAACTTTTTGGCTTATTTTAATGAGTTATAAACGCAGCAGAAGTTTGGAACCCTATTATAGAAACACTCTGTATGTAGTTATTCAGGAAACTTCGAGTGTAGATAGATCTCTTTAATATAATATGTGTTTGCCTTATAAACATAGGTCTGGAACGGCCCCGTTTTAGAGATACAGGGTGTTGAGGTTTTAAAAAAAAAATGATTTTTTGTTTCTATCGCACACTACCTTACAGGTGGTGCAGAAAGGGCTGTAAATCATTTTGTTGATGTGCTTACAAATTGCACTTACTTTTAAACAAACAAAATATTCTTGTAATATTATCATTAGAAGTGTCTGCCACAAGGGGATTGTATTAGTATGAATAACTTGAGAACGGCGAATCTTAGGGAAAAAATTAAAGTCACCTTTTTTACGTATTTTGTGCATTAAAATATAAATCAGTTACAATGACATGTAAAAAATGCAGTGGCGTAAGTTTTTTTGTAAAAAAGGCGGTGACCCCGGTCCAGTTGTACACCACTGGTTGAACTTTTAAAGCTCATATTTCAAGGAATATAAGGCCTACTATCATACATTATATGTACCAAATTTGATTGAGATCGTTTAATAGATTCCGGAGGTATAAACAAAAAATTATTTTTTTTTTTGACAATTTCAACACCATCTCTAAAACGGTGCCGTTCCAGACCAATGTTTATAAGGCAAATTCATATTATTTTAAAGAGATCTATCTGCCCTCGAAGTTTCCTGCATAAAATTCGGACCACCCTGTATTTGTTATAAAGTAGAATACAAAAGTGTTACAGTTTAGGATCAACAAGAGTTATGCTATTAGATATTATTTAAAATATGTATAATTAATATTATGTGACAAAATTTATTTGCCTGTTTTTTAAAATTAGTTTAAATAAGAACAACTCTATACTAAAAAACGGTGTTTTAAAATGTGGGAATGTATGAATTATGATCTAATTGTCGTTAATTTCAAGTCTAAAAGCTATATAATTGTATTTATGTGTATTAAAGGAGGCATTTACTACGAACTAATCATTGTTGAAAGTGAATTACATTTTTTATACATGTTGCCTTATTTTTATTATAACAGTGTTAGATAATAAATATAAGTAACTTGGTTCAAGGTTTTACGGGAAAGGAAATATAATGACATAGAGGAAAAAAATAAACAGTAGAACAAGTGAAGGTACCACTTTTAAAAATAAGATTATATCCTTCTTTTTAGCTTTATAAAATTTCCATCCAAAGAAACCCTTTGCCTATTCTACTTCTCTACTTTGCCTATTATATTTCAAATAACAAAAAAATATTAATCAGTTTCACATATCCTAATAAATAAAAGTATTACTTGAGACATTTCATTTATTATTATTTCAGAAAATATTTCATATTCACAGAATATTGTTGTATTCTTTAAATATTTTGATTAAACACGTTTTATTGAATACCCCATATATACAAATTAAAACATCATTAGTTATTGATGCCTATGTAGAATCTATAGAATACTTACGAACATCGACACTTGTGGAAAACTTTATGAAAATCGATAAAACTACACCTAACAAAAGCTGCATCTTGAAGACCGTATCACAGTAATATTAACCGCCGATGCAAATTTTAGACGTTAACTAGTTGATGCCTCTGTAATAAATGAACTTTGTTGAAATCTGCTTGCAAACTTTCACTCATTCTAATCTTGGATGTAGGTACCTACACGCTTCGTACTAAAAATAATCATATAACAAGAAATAATAAATAAATAGGGAATTTAATTAATTTGTTTGCCAATTATGTTGTCAAATTAGTAATGTGATGTGGTGTTGCCTTGATGTACTTATATTTATTTGGGGAACTATTGCGTAAATGTTAAAATACCTCTTTATGCCAATCTGTAATAAAGGGTGGTCCAAAATTGACGCAAGAATTGATTTTGATAGAAAACACAAGTTTTTAATTAAAAATTGTAAATTTTTTATTGATTCATAAAGCATACAGTATAGAGTTATGTTATGTGTTTGCAGGTACATATGCACTTTTTTGTCGAAATTTAGCATGACCGTTTTACATAAATGCGGCTGAATTTCGTTGATACAACGCTCAATAGACCTCTTTAGTAGTAACGTCACATACGCCAAATAATAGGCAACCCCATAGTGTACAGTGTCATGAAGAATTTCTCAATATTTTGACTAGATCCATTTTCGACCTTATGTACTTTGGACATAAGTGCCAAAAAATGTCTTCTCTGTCACGACCTTAAATATTGCGATATTCTGGCAATATTAGAAATATTTAAGAAGTTTCAAACCCCAAGTGACAAACTAAAAGAATTATAGATTTTATACATTTAAATTTTTTAGAACAATATTGACTTTTATAGTAATTAAAAAATTAAAATTATATTTCCATATTACTGAGCATACGCATTAAAGATAATTTCATGTAAGCGAAGTAGCCTCCCAACAGGATATCACTCAAGGAAAGTTTGGTTATGGTTAACAGTACGTCATTAATAAATCATTTGAAGAAAAAAACATTCGATAAACACAGTGCAACACCAAGAAAAACAATAACAATACTTAGTATAACTAAAAAATGCCAAGATTAAACAAAACACTAATGATGACAGTGATAACATATCAAATAGAGCTCACCTGCGTATGAGGCTATTATTTCCGAGCATGTTAAATTTCTACTTTATATAAATTTAGGAATATTCTTTTATATGGTTTTTTGTAAGCTTTAAGCACATTAGTGTACTAACAATGGTTGTTCTTAAATACCCCTAAATCCTTTTAAAAATAAATTAATTTGAAGTTGTTCATTTTTATAGTATCTATGTAAATAGTACATAAGGGTCAAATTCGGTCTGTACAATTTCAACTATGACACATTTTTGCGAGTTGCCTAAATATGTGACGTCACACTAAAATACTCTATTTCCTCCTTCAAGGCGTGGACTATCGTGGGCTTGTTGGCTTAAACTTAAAAAAAACCCAAAGAAAAAAAATTTACGGCGTTAAATAACATGATCTGGGAGGCCAATCCTGATCACCAAAAGGGGAAATTACACGACCAGGAAATGCAGTGTAGTAATAAAATGTTTCTTGGGCTGCATGGCTTGTGGCATCGTCTTGTCGTAACCACTTGTCGTCTACATCCAAATCTTGCAGTTTAGACACAAACAACTGGATTATCACGTCACGATAGCGACACGTTGTGAATGCATTTGTTTCTCAACAATCACTTGTGAATTTTCTGGATCCCAAACGCGACAATTTTGTCGATTAACGGAACCATCAATATGGTCTCATCGCTGTAGATGATTTTGTTCAGTAGGTATCCACTTGTTGTTCCATAATCCATTCAACGAAGTCTCTTCACTCTGCGTAGTCAATAGGCTTCAGTTCTAGAGTCAATTGAGCTTTGTAAGCGTGAAGATGCAAATCTTTCATGAGATTACGCTGTAGAGAGCTTCTCGAAATGTCCAATTCTTGACCATGGTACACACTCTCGCGAACAATGACTGCCAGAGTGTTTACGATCACTAATTCATCCAGTCTCCCTGAATTTTTCAATTAATCTCTTCACAGTTGATAAAGTTAAATCACTATTCCGACCATATTTTGTACAAAAATTACGAATTGTAGCTGACAATGAAAACGAGTTGTTCTTTCATGTAGCGTTCCATTTTTAATAACCTCGAACTGTCAGCTGTCACGCTGTCTTTTTTTTCTTTTTTAAATTTTTTAAAAATATTCACTAAATTAGATTATGAGAGAATAAAGATAACGAACTATTTTTGAAAAATTCGATTATAAGTATACGAGAGTTTATAGAATTCCGAATAATTTCTAAAAAATAAATAATTTAGTTGTGGTATTGCTCGCAGAAATTACAAAAGAAAATATGTTGTTAGTTCCAAATATTTTAGCAGAATTTCGCAAAAAATATGAAAAGAAACAAAAATATTATGCACATTTTTCAAATGTGTTGCAATGTAATAATAATATAGAAATTGTTCACAATATTCAAACCACATCGATGTTATAAAATAAAAACTCACTTTTAATATGTAGGTTCGATTTAAAAATTTTTGTTTTTATTGTGGCCTAAAAACTAACATTTTTCAAAAACTTAAAAAATGAGGAAAAAATAAAAAATTGAGATTGAAACGATACTTCTAGATTTCCTGATGCCCTAGTTCTAAGTTTAAAATATACATAATGACATTTCAAAGGACTATCGTAAAAAAATTATATATATATTTTAGATCACTCACATCACTTTTAACTTTTTAAAAAATTTTATTTTTCACTTAAATTATGATTACAACTTTCAGTGTTTAACAATAGATTATGAGTTACAGCGTTGAAGACTTAAAACGACTGGATTTTACTGTGAACTGAACTGACTAAGTTTTTTAGTTATATTTATAAGTTTTCTTATGCTAACGCAAGTACAAGCATTCTTAGAATCTGCTGCTGTGCTTGCGCTTTACATGAGATTGCTTTGTTTCGAGGAAGTTNAATAGCGAATTTTGTGCATTAATTAGATTAAGGAGTATTTCGTGGGCCGTCGTTGTCGTCGTCGTTCTATTCGAAATCTATCGAGGTTGATTTCTAAAAAATTATTTTCAAAAAAAAAAAAAATCGGGAGACAATTAAAGAGTACCCTGTGTAATGATTTTAACATTAAAGTTAAGAGTGGGACAAGTACTTTTTATTAAAACCTGGTTGTACAAAACCGTCATATCCAATTCAGCGTTTGTAGTGTATTTTTTTATCTCAATTACTTGTAATCCTTGACCAAAAAATGAAAATGACACCACTGACTTGGTGGTACTACATAAAATTGTTTTCAAGTACCTATATACTGCATCGTCTTACTTACATTAAATGTATGATATCTAATGAAGTAAAATTAATTGACTTTCGCGATAATCTTAGAAAGTTAGAAACGACCAGTAAGATACATCTATTCTGTGATCAAATATAATTGAGATATGGGGCATCAATTTAGTGTAACATAAGATGTTATATACAGGGTGATTCATTAACAATGGGAAAATCGAAAGCTGAAAATACTACACGTGAAATGGTGACCATTGACGCAAACATGCCTTATCCGAAAGTTGATAGTTTCGGAAATACAGGATGTTGAAAGTTAAAATTTTAAATCGTTTTTTTGCGATTATTCTGAAAATATGTAGGTTAGGAACTTGAAAATTTGTAAAACTATATTTTTTAGGCGACGAATAAGATGCGTGTTGTAATTTCAGCATTGCTCATAGAGGGCGTCACTTGCGACCAATTTTACCGACAATTTAGTTAATAACTTTTTACCCTGTATGTCTAACATGAAACTTGATTCAAAACCTAAAAGAGCAATCATTTTTCCATTAATTGATTATTCTTGTTTCATTTCGGTATCTCGATCCGTTTTCGAGAAAAATCGATTTAACGAACATTCTGTTTTAATAATACGAGAAATTAAAAACGAAACAAACCAAGTGTTTCTTCGTGGTATTACAACAATTAACAACAAAACAAATGAAATTCGTAATATTGATTTAAAGTCAGTGTTCGAAGAATCCACCGTTGACATTTACACACTTTATACAACGTTTTCTGAGAGATCTTCGAGTTTGAAATAACATATTGGGATTGCATCTAACTTCGTTGGCAGCGATTTGTATTTTTGCCACAACTCTTCACACGAACCAATAGATTCTTCCAAATAGAAAAATGATGAGGATTCAAGTCCGGACTTCTGGGTGCCCAAGTAAAAATGCTTCCACAGCTTGAAGAAGTTCCACTTTATTTAAGAAAAGACATGTGGTTCATGCACGACGGAGCTCCACCGCATTTTTCTTGGCCAGTGCGTGCATATTTAGATGCAGTTTTTCCAAATCGCTGGATTGGCCATGTAAGCATTTTTGCTTGGCCATCCAGAAGTCCGGACTTCAATCTTCTTGATTTTTCTATTTGGTTTCGAATGAAAGATATAGTTTACAAAGAATCTATTGGCTCGTGTGAAGAGTTGTGGCAAAGAATACAAATCGCTGCCAACGAAGTCAGACGCAATCCCAATATGTTGTTTCAAACTCGAAGATCTCTCAGAAAACGTGTAAAGTGTATCAGTGTCAACGGTGGATTCTTCGAACAATTACTTTAAATCATAATTACGTATTTTATTTGTTTTATTGTTAATTGTTGTAATAACACGAAGAAACACTTGGTTTGTTTCGCTTTTAATTTCTCATATTATCAAAACATAGTGTTCGTTAAATCGATTTTTCTCGAAAACGGATCGAGATACCGAAATGAAACAAGAGTACATAATTAATGGAAAAATGATAGCTCATTCAGGTTTTGAATCAACTTTCATGTTAAATATACAGGGTAAAATTATTAACTAAATTTTCGGAAAAATTGGTCGTAACACGCATCTTATTCGTCGAATAAAAAAATATAGTTCCACAAATTTTCTAACCTACATATTTTCAGAATAATCGCAAAAAAAACGATTTAAAATTTTAACTTTCAACACCCTGTATTTCCGAAACTATCAACTTTCGGATAAGGCATGTTTGCGTCAATGGTCACCATTTCACGTGTAGTATCTTCAGCTTTCGACTTTCCCATTGTTAATGAATCACCCTGTATAGATGTAGGT